TTCAATGTTATTTGGCTTAAAATATGTGATCAATTGTTTGTTGTTTATATGTTATAATAAAAGACTTCTAAAATACATAATTACATATTTTTAGAAATAATATATTGCTCAAAATTTTAAGGTTTGATTAAAAATGTATCAGCATCATATACTGACTTGTGAAAATCATTGTGGTAAAAGTTATTTTTACATAATTAGATATAAATCAGTATTCGAGGAGACAGTTGCATATTGCTGAATATTGTCAAAAATAAAGCAAATAATTATAAATTTCATGTTTTCGTTTGAAAAATCTATACAAGAATTTTAATTACTTTTAATTAAAGAAACGAAATGTATTATTAGTAGAAATATATGTGAAAATAAGTTATATTTGATATAATTATTAGTTTAATTGAATCCCATTATTGTCTATTGTATTTAACGGCTACAATAAAACTACTGTAAAGTATATGAAAAATCGTTAGGAAATATACAGTAATTAAATATTTCAGACATTTGAAGTGAATATTTCATTGAATATAAAACATGTTATTCTTAAATATAAGTTCATTCTTGATAATTTATAATAATAATGAATTATTAATTTAATAATGATTGATAAATTAAAATAATAAATACTTGAATGAATGACAGGGTATAGCCCTATGGCAATGGACGCGAGCGCCTGACGACCAAACGAGTGGCAAACAGATAGCGGTGGATATGGACGGCACGTCTACACCTTTGTTACATCTGTCCAAACTAGAAGTGGGAGTCTATAAGTTTATACTGTCGGTGACCGACACCGCCAACCAAAGCTCCAAAGCCGAAGTGCATGTGTTTGTGAAGCCCGAAAACAATAGACCTCCGCTGGCCGTCACCCCCCATGACATGAAAGTAGTGCTCCCTTTGGAGAACAGTGTTGTTTTAGACGGCACTAAATCCAGTGACGACACCGGTGTGACCAAATGGCTTTGGCAACAATTACACGGTCAGTCAATGCAATAAATTATCATTCAAACTATTTAACATTGAAATACTTTTAGGTCCGAAAGTGTTGCAAATAACTAATGCCAACGAATCAAAAGCAAACATAACAAACAAATTATTTCCCGGAGAGTATAGCTTTCAGCTCACCGTTTGGGACACGAAGGGCGCCAACTCTTCAGCACTTTTTAAGCTAACTGTCATTCAAGCAAAAAATTCGCCCCCCGTTGCCAATGGAGGGGGCGATCGCACGGTCACACTCCCTATTAGCCAGGTTTGTAATCGACTCAATATTTATGAATTGATCATTTATTTGGATTGATGTCAATTGTACTGTATATGACTTGACAATAGGTTATACTAAATGGTAGCCAATCCTACGACGACGTGGAGATAGTGTCGTATGAGTGGCGGCGGACACAAGAGTCGCTGGCATTTGGGGATATACTGGACAACTCGTCATACAGTGCTGTGTTGAGACTGACAAACCTGATTCCCGGTCGATATCTATTCCGACTGACGGTGACTGACAGTCAGGGCTCGCAGGCGTCAGAAGTTGTGTCGCTTATTGTGAAACCCTCTCACGATATGATGGATGAAATCGAGTTAATACTAAACACTGATTGCAAAGCATTCACCACCGATCAGGAGTGGACTGTATTGAAGCGTTTGGAGTTAC